CTCTGCCAGAAAAAAAAGGTAGTTTTACATTATTGGAACCATACAAACTGAATGGTAACAGCATATAGTATGTTTTGAGGAAAAAACTAAGAACTGTACAACTCTCTATTGAACTCGGAGGTCTCACTGCGGTACAAACAGTCAGTGGGTGGAAACCATGTTGAACAGAAGCACTGAGAACCTTCAAAAAGACCAGCAGATTCATTGAAATAAGGCCTGGATCCAGGAATCAAGGTATTAAAATGATTTAAAGAGGCTGTTTTAAAATTGTCAACAATCTGTGGTGTGACTTAAAGGAATTTTGATGAGATGCCAAATAAGGTGCTGCAGACACTAGGGGTGGAACGGCTCACAAAATCCACAATTCGGTTCGATTCACGGGTTCGTAGTCACAGTTTTCGGTTCGGTTCGGTATATGTTGATCCCATAAAAATTAATGAAATTAATGAAAAAATCAAAAAAAAAAATAATGGATTGTAATAATTTTTAATGATCCGCGGAAACCATGGATTATTTCCGCATGTTTTGCTGCTTTGAATTTAATCATCTCGCACATGCCCTCTACGATCTCCAAGGAACTCAGAGCGGACGGGAGCCACAGGGGAGGCTGTAGGCTTTGTTTTGTGCAGGCGGTCTGGAGCACAGCGGGGCGGAGCGGGGGTTGCTGACGGAGTATGAGGGATTTGGGGGTTAGCATGACATGTTGGTCATGTTGCTGTTAGCATAAACAAAACGTGTTGCACAATGCTTGCACACTGTTGCACTTTTATCCACAACTTTCTTTCCGCCGCCATCGTAGGTCACTCTAAATGCAAAGTGCTCCCATACAGCAGACCTATAAAGTGCTGCTGGCGCGTCTTCCAACTCCTGTTCTTTCCCACTCGCCATACCCACACAATTCTCCACAACAACTGATTTTTTTCTGCTACACCTGGCTACGCTGCTTCGCTTCTTCTTCTTCTCGTTTACTACCGGTGGTTGGCTTTGGTCGCAGTACCGCCACCTTCTGCTCTGGAGTGTAAACGCTTCGCCTATGAGAAAAAGGAGCAGCGCATGAACCGAACGCAACACACGCAAACCGAACTGAGACAGTTGAACTGAACGGTTCGGACGGTTTTCATAAACCGTTCCATCCCTAGCAGAAACCGAAGCAATGCTTCAGCCTTACCCACCTATTGCTGCTCACTGCCAGTCAGCTGGCTGAAAGACGGATACTAATGAATTTGTTTTGTTAACTGGAAAATAGGATATTTGGGTGCTTGGATTTATAACAGGTAGAGCACTAACAGCTAATGCATTTTTTGTGTCCCAGTTGTTACTCCATGAGAGACAAGACTCTCATGGAGACTGGACAGTGACCCCTACTGGAGATTAGAATACTTACGTCAAACAGGCCTTAGGGTTGACCAGGAGTCACAAATTAGGCTAAAACATGTTTCAGCCAATGTTCTTATCAAGGTAACAGAGCGTAACCTGTGAGCAGCATGTCTGTCTCACGGTGCAATACCTGTGTCGGCAAGCCCACCAATAGAATCCTGATATCCGCTCATTGTTACTACTTTTACTCAAGAGCATGACAGAAAAAGGCATAATGACCTATGGAATATAAAAATATAAGTACTAAATTTTGTAATTGAATTTTGTGTATTTTTTTTTTTTTGCCTTTTTCATTTTAGACAATGATCTTGAATCATGTGATCTTGAATCCAACTCAAACCTCATCCAGTCTTAATGTGACCAAAGTGGTTTTATGTGTCTCCATCTAATACCAGTTGGGTCATATTTGCCACATACCAAGAATAGAAACAAAATAATTTTGCTGTCATCTAGAGGCTGAAAATAAGACCAATTATTCTTTATTCCTAATTAAAATGCCATGTAAGCTATTCAGTGTGCTATATTCAAATGAACAATCTAAATATTGTCTATGCTGTTTTATCTAGTTCTAAACAAATGCAGGGAGCAAGGTAATAAATCAAAATGGAAATAATAATACTCAGAGATAATATTCATGTTATAATTTTCCCACATGCTGGTATAATTATTTTTTCATTTAACAAAGTTTCTACAACTTGAATGTATGATGTTTTAAATACCTTTTTAAGATCATTATTACCTAAATATAAAGCCTGCCTGAAAATGAAAACAAAACTAATGCCAGTCAGGAAAGCACCTATTTAGAAATACAATAATTCATTTTCCCCAATAATTAGACCTAAATTTAATTTAACTAAGTTAAGTATGTGTTTTTTGGCTCTGTAGTCACTCCTTTACTTCTGCAAATGTTATCTCAGTTCAACAGCTTCATACTTCTTTTTCAGTATACAGAAAACTACTGGACATGTATGGACAACAGTATTTGGCTAACTACCGTATTTTCCGGACCATGAGTGTTGGCTGCTGTTAGATTTCTTATCCAGAATGGCAAACCAGACAAGGAATGAAGGCTGCCAGTGTTTTTAGCTAAATAAGTTAATTAATAAAGATAATACGTAAAGAAAAGAAAGAATGTATGGCGTCATTATACTGCTAAAAGTCCACACACGCAATAAAAACTCCGTACTCCAATTTACTTCATACAGGAATTATTATACTACTCCTCACATGCATGTTTCACATGTTACATGCACAAATAGAATCCCATGGACCCCAATATATCATCCACACTAGTGCCTGTCCCTTCTATGCTCCCACGTGGTTTGATTTCCATGCATACAGCCTCCTTCCTCCTAACATGTTAAACATGAGGAGTAGTTTATGAAGGTGTGCATGAATGAAACCTGCTTGTAGGAGTATTTAATAGGGATGCACGATATTGGGATTTTGGCCGATATCCGATATGCCGATATTTTAAAACTCATGTAGCCGATAACCGATATCGATACCGATGTTAAAGCTGGACAAAAATAAGTAGTCATTGAAAATAGCAGTTTTGTTATCCATTTCTGACACTTTGAAAAATAATATACTCAAATATATTTCCATATGCTGATATCAAATTGATTTTTAAAAACGCGGTATCAATCTATTTTACTTTCAAAATCTCGTGAAATTTCACCGTTCTGTTACAAACTCTCGTGATATTTTGCAAATTCTTGTGAGATTTTGTTAGTAAAATAGATCGATACCGCGTCAATATATCAACATATAAAAATATGGCAACATTTTGTGAATTTTCGGGGGATTTCGTAGCATAACGATGACATATAGCAATATTTCATTAGTAAAAGAGATTGATATGGTGTTTTTAAATGGAAATATATCAGCATATGAAGATAGAAGTTTTTAAGTCTGTAAAAAAGAAGTTTTTGAGGAAGAAGAAGTAGTATTTTATTTTATTTTTTTAGACTTTAGAAACTCAGAAGCTGATCAAATATCGGGTTAAATATCGGTGGGGTGGCCGATGTCCGATATTCAGTTTTAACGCCGATACAGGCCGATACTGATGGGGGGTCGATTATATCGTGCATCCCTAGTATTTAATGCATGTGTCTACTTTTGGCAGTATAATGACACCATAGAAGTGAATGTTGAAAAATTAAGATACGGCTTCATGTAAACTTTTGAAACACAAATCTGTTCGTTAAATTGCCAAATTTTTCCTCTTGATGGTTTCGTGAGTAATTATTGTTCGTTGATGAGTTTTGTGTATTTGTTTTGTTTAATATTAATACGTTTCTAAAATAAGTTTCTATTTTTGTTTTAAATTTTTTATTATATTTTAAATAAATCTGTTTATCAAAAACCAAGTTTGGACACTTATTGCAAACTAGCTTAGGATATAATGGTCTTTATTAGTAAATAAATAGATACATTCAATTGAATTTTCTATTTTTAACAAATATTATAGATTTGATTCTGTGTTATGTAGTTCTTTAATTTTCTTAACTTTAATATTTTGTTAAAAAGGTATAACATCATATTATATATTTTTTCCTCTCTTAGGGTTATCATTCTGGGACGTTGTCATATTGCTCCATGACTAATTCAAGCAGCAACCAGTTTCTCTTCTTCGCATTTGTAGATGCATCTGACTATTGATGTAAGAAATGGAACATTGTTGCCCGCTGTTTGGGTGCGCAGTAATAGAACAAAGATGGGACATAGTTTAGCTTATTAGCTTATGGGGCATACTAAATAAGTATGTTTTTTTTTCACTTCTAGTGAACAATAAACTGCACAGGGAGATTTTTCCACACCAAGGACATCAAACTAACAGACATCTGAAACACACACTGCAACATTAATGTTATAGTTTTGAAAATTTTAAGAAAAATCTGATTCAGGAGAAAATAAACAGAAAAGAAGGTATCAAAAGCAAAGCCCTAGTGTGTATAAATCTGTCTTCTATCACTTCACACAACTGAAACTGAAACAGAAAGTTACAACATTGTTTACTGAGAGTTAAACTGGTTCATCTGTGCTATAATTTACAGAAGTGCTTCCCTCCTTGACAGCATCTGTTCCCTTTGAGTACAGAACCAGAAGTCTGTACCGTGCCAGCGTTGTTATTACAGAAAGATCGTCTCTCAGCTGTTTTCCCTAAGTGTCCTGAGTATAACAAAATGGTCTTGAGGAAAATCCACTTGTGACTTTTTTTTTCTTTAATTATCATTTAATAGGAAATATCAAGTCATCACCAGCCAACAGTCTTCAGAGTCACCGTTGAATCTTTGCGGAAAACCGCAAGGAAACAGGACACAGTATTGCTTTAACAGCTCTGGCTTGAAAGAGTCTTTTACACCCAAAAAGAAAAGGGCGGCCATCTTGAAGGACAGAAAGGCGGCGTCACAGGTTTAGGGAACAACAGGTCTCCGTGTTGTTGTCAGGTCCCTGTGACTCGTGAAGCTTCACACTTGGGTGGATTTGACTCGCCGCAGCGGTTTTCGTCCTTCAGGGTGGGCAGGGCAGGGTGGGGGGATTTCACGGGGCAGGTCTAGACTGAGCTGGTGAGGCAGCGTCTTGAGGGGGGGAGCAGATCGGGTGGGGCGGGGGGCGGGGTTGGCTGATGGTCATGTGATCTCAGAATATGGTAGCCCCGGAGCCTAAAATGGGGGGAAAGAAAACATGAAATCAAATGTTTATTTATTTATTATTATTTTTATTATATATATTAAAAATATATCAAATGTTTAAACTAATAAAATATTTGGTATATTGCAGAGTCAAGATTGGACTGAAACATGTAAATATTTCGGGCAGAATCCAATTCAGAGAGGAAGTGGGGTCTTTCTAAAGAGTCTCTTTCTTCACCTCTGCCCTTACCTGGAAGCCACTTAACTTTTCGAGTGGACTCTCCACGCGGGGCAGGCTGAGGAGAGGCAGGCTGATGGGGGGCTCGGGACGCTGTGGAGGGGGGGGAGGGGTCGGCACTGCTAGCTTAGTTGGTTTGAAATTGTTGATCACACATGAGACCTGATGGAGAGGAGACAAACGAGGAGAAAAAGAAAAAAAATGATTTTTCCTTTTTTTCAGAAAAGCTTTCTAATAAATGGAGGAAGATATAAAAGAAGGTCCTCGCCCTTTTCTCTGCCTCTAATCGTTACACCAAGCTTACACCATTGAAAGCTTGTAAACAGAGAAGAAACCATCAATAAATCAGACCTTGGAAAGGAAAAGAGCAACTCTTTTCAATCTCAGGATGAGGGCCTTTGCTTTGATGCTCTTTAAAGAAAAAAAAAATCAAATAGAGGTCAGGAATAAACCAGTGGCAGCTGCTTCTCTCTGAAACAGGGGAGGCTCAATGGTGATAATTCAATCCAAGCGTCACATATTGCATGAAAACATTTTTAAACACATAAAACACTATAATGGGTGAAAAAAGCTGCTGTGAAGCACTCTGAAATAACAAACTCCAGAAACCATGGCAAGAGTAAAGATCAAGATGTCTGTTGATCACTTTTCATTCTCCACTCATGAGGAAAACCTCCTCGCTGTCAGGCCACTATCAGTCCAAACTTCTTAAGTATGTCGACCAATCAGCATCGAGCAGCCAGCTTCTGCTCTATTAACCTTGGCCGTGTCCGAATGCCTACCCTAATAAATATGTAGGGCACTATATAGTGGTAACGCTATTTTAAACGAGTGTCCGAACATCTAGTGGATGAAAAGTTGTGGACTGGAAATTTCCAACATTGCACCTTCAAAAGTAGTGATCATCCATGGTCACTAGACGAGCAGATATATCCTGGAATGCTTTGCGTTGAGAGCTCTCCTCACAAAGCATTATGGGATTTCCTGTCAGCGGCCTACTGTCGCCAGGGGCTGTTGCTACCCGACAGCAGCAACTAATAACAAAGACGCCGCAGGCACCGTGCGGTGGGAGCGGAGTTGCGTGACCAACAGGGAGTGAAAAGTAGTGATCATCTGTCCGAACGGTAAGTTAACTGAGTTCACTAGAAACTCCACAATATAGTCCCCGCACTATACAGTGATGGAGGGATTTAGGGGTTAGAGTGGATGTTCAGACACAGGCCCTCCTCCGAAATTTACAGGAGAGGTTTAGCCTCCCTACACTGCAAAAACAATCTAGAAATAAGTAAAAATGTCTTAAATCAAGTGTATTTACCCTTGAATTCTAGCAGGTAAATAACATGATTTTGCAATGGAATGAGTATTTTTACTCCTAAAATAAAATAATTAGATAATATGCACTTGAAATGAGACAAAGCAATGGCTTTTTCTTATTTTAAATCTAAATTGTCATTGGCAAAGTATCTCCCTCTCTCCCTCAATTCAAGAATAAATGTACTTATTTTAAGAAAAAATGACTTACCGGTAGTAAGATTTATATTTTTTGCAGTGTAGTATTCAATGATAAATCGAGACTGGTATACATGCACATATAAGCATTCAGTTATGTTGTCTTCTTTTTTATTCAAAACTAATATCTACTATTGTTGGTTTTATTCCTTAAAAGAAGGAATTGATCCAAACTGTAATTAGCATGTGGGATCAAAAATAAATGGAAATCTGTAACCACCAAAAGTTATAGGATCTCCTTTAACATTGATCCAAGTTCCTATTAGAAAGGTAAACTAAAAGAAAACATGCTTTAAAAACTAAAGAGACAAACTGGAAAATCAGTGAATAGAACAAGAGAAATATGACTTTGATTGTATTTGAGCTTATAACATCTACAGAATTGATTACTTTCCAGTATCAAATACATGTTTAAAAAATCTAAATGGACACAAAAAGAAGAAAATATGCCATTCTAATTTCTGGGCCATGTTTTAATATGTCACTTTGGTTCCTTTAGGTCGTGAGAGAGACAGAGAGGAGTTATGTCAGTATTCTAGTGATGTTTTGTTTTATCCCTGTAAGCTTCCAGCCTGTTTGTTGCAGACCATGATTTGTTTTGAGATTGTTCACAGCTTTTAAAATAAGGATCTACATTCTCTTGGGAAAGCAAAAGACTGCTGATTCGGGATGCCAGCCCACTAACCCACTGATCATTAAAATAAGATGCTCTCTGTTAACATTGATTCCTCTGCTTCTAAGGTCTCAAAATAATCTTTAACTAATAAAAGGAAATTTTCTGTTCAAACAGGGTTATCTTTATTATTAGATCTAGAAACCTACTATTGCAGAACCTGTACAGAGTTTAGTTCCAACTATTTTTATTTTCAGCTACAACACATAAACAGCAACTAATCACTTGGCTAAGAGAAAACTAGGCAGGGTTTTCCCCTTTCTGCACCTGGATTGTTCACTTCTGGCAGAAATATTATGGGACATTTAAGTCATAATACTTTTTTTTACTTGTAAATGAGCATTTTAACATTAGCAATGCATTCTTCAACTAAATGTTATAAAAAGTTGTAATAAAATGCATTCATATTTTTTTGTGCAAAAATAACTGGTTCCTTTTAAGTCTTGCTTGTTTTAAAATAGAGAGATCAGGATATTATTCATTAAAATGATATGTAAGAAACACTGCTTGGAAGAAAATAACCTGTTAGCTTCTGCTAACCAAAGCACCCAGATTACTGATTCACTAAAACAACAGTTTGCTGTTTCACAGCATGAAACTCCATCATGCTACTGAGGGAAAGATTTTTTTTTTTTCAAATTCAAAAATAAATTAAAGTATTTGTGAAAATTCACCACAGTGACTGTATGATCCTCAGAGAAACTACAGAACCTCAGTAGCTCCATTTAAACCTCTATAGGCCTTATTTAGTAGTGTATCGCCAACGTTCATAATGAACCAGAAAGAAGATTCATAACAAATATGCTGCCTGTGAAAAGGTTGTCAGCAGTAAGTAAGGTCGGTGATAAAGCAGACACAGCATATCAGCACCTCGTCCTGATTGTTAAGCATGGTGGTGAGAGTGTAATGGTTTGGGCTGGTGTAAAGAATAAGCTGTAGTAGATTTCTAGAAAGCAAGGATACAAGTAATGTTTAAGAGTGAGACAGTTTTAAACAATGACTTGTCAGACTAATAAGACCTAAGAGAAAAATAATCCTTAAGTTATTGTTGCTTTTGTAAAGATATCAAATCAGGGGACAAAACTCACCTAGAGAACAACAACTGTATGGAATCTTTTGTGTTCTTCTGGTTCAACTTGCATATTTTCTAAGCCAAAATAAGTCTTTGTTTTGGTCCAGTCTATAAAGCCTCGAACTCAACGCTATTTCTGATATTTTGAATTGAAATCGAAAGGTCTTCAAACTTGGAAAATAAGTCCAAAGGATTGTTTTTTTTTGTTTTTTGTTTTACTTTTTTTAAAACTGTTTTGAAATCTGTAGTATGTTCTGGCACACTAAAACCTTGATTTGAGTGTTTTTTCATTTTCACAAGACTGCACAGCAGGCGTCTTAATCTCACAGTTTAGCTGAATGCTCCTGCTAAATTCAGAGGAAGTCCCACACACCAAATGAGGGTAACTTTTGTGATTGGCGGCTGACACTGTCAATCTACCTGCCATGTTGGTAGTCATAAAGACTAAATACAACACAGAATAAGTGTTAAGCTGTTGACAGAAACAAGCGCCAGTCTTTTCTTGGATGCATTACACAAAATGTGACAAAGATGGCTGGTGTTTAACTGTTACAATAGTTTATTTATAAGGGTTAATAACCCGTTTCAGTGTGCAGGGACTCCTTTTTTTGTGCTGTCTTTGGATGCACCATAAACATATGCCTGCTGACACTGAAGCTCATCAGAGACCTGATGTCTTACATTCAGACGTCTAAATGTGAGCATCTGATTGTTTAGCAAACCAGCAGCAAGAAGCAAAAAACTTTGCACTTTTTTTTCCAAATAAACTGTGTACGTTGTGCAACTTTGTCTGCAAAATTACACTTGTTAATTAAAAGATAAGGTAAAATATGCCAATACATCTATATGTTAAGCTATTTAATAACAATTCCAAAGATTGCTAATTCTCAATTACTTGCTAGTTATTCTTGAATAAGCCCAGTATCCATTTCTGGGCATAAGTCTTTTGGTTACAATAGGGAAACAAAAAGAGCATAAGTGAGATTGTGTATTCTGTACAAGTTTGAGAACCATTCATTAACATTTTCTGAGTTATTCACCTTTATTTTAGGCTTAGTAAAATTTTAGCTGTTAAAAAGATCCAATTGTAACAATGGGTGGTGGCCAAAAAAGTTAACTGCAGGCCCTGTTCACACATTACCCCTCCCACCCCTGTTTCTTTCTGCTCCATTTCTCTTTGCTTTCCCTCACCAGGAATGCAGCGATGGCCCCTCCAGTAACAAAACCGGCCAGTACGTCGCTCCAGTGGTTCCTGTGCTCTGTCACTCTGACCACCCCGACCAGCACAGCCAAAGACAGCAGCACCAGGCATAAAGTGGGCTTCATCAGACGGGTTCCTTTGGTCCGGAACACCAGTGTCACGTACATCTGTGAGAGGATCACAAGCAGGAAAACATATATCAGAATTAAAACATTTGTTTAGATATTTAAAGCAAAGGAATGACAGCAGTTTGAGTTATCAAGCTGAGGTGATGCAGACTGAGTAGCAGCCTTACTGCCTCAGCAGGATGTACAGCTTGATCATGCCACAAGAGGGCGCAATTGGTAGTAACTTTAGAGCAGCTAAATGGTTTATCATAAACAGAAAGCCCAGGAAAAAAAAAAAACACCCCTAGTTCATCTGCTTCGATGCAATGTAAAGATTATATTAGACTTAAAATGACTTATTCATTCACCCAATTATATATATATATATATATATATATATATATATATATATATATATATATATATATATATATATATATATATATATATACACACACACATATGATTTTTTTTTTATGTTATCTCTGATGTTTGATGATTTATCTAAGACTGGAGGGCCTGCAGTGTAACTGTCCATTAAAAAAAGTACAGTTACTTATGTTAAGATCGGATTACAGTCTATTAATAAAAGCTTTATACATTGTATCCTATTGAACTTAGTTCATTTCAGTTAAATAATCCTGCATACAGCCTGGTCCCACTTGGCATAAGCTCTGGGCTATTTTTTTGAATAACCAAAGGTTTCACAAGAGAAAAGATTCATTCTATCAAAAAAACTAAATTAATTAACAGTAGCGCCCAAATGGCATCAGAATCCGATATGATTATTTGAAAAATAAAAGAGATAACGAAGAACAATTTCTGATTTGTTTCCAATTCAAATTAGCTTCTACGTATTGCTATATCATGTGCATATCATACACATGCAGCTGGTTATTGCTTTCAAAGGGTCAGTAGCATTTAAAGAAGTCCTACTGAGGATTATGGAAGAGAGAAAACTTCTTCCTCTGCAGAGACAGCCTTAGCTGCTTGCACAGAGTCAAGCTGGATGGATTTATCCATCATCAAGCGTTTATGAACCATTTTTCAAACAGTTTCTACAAAGAGGAGGTAATGATGGACCCAGGGACTGCCAGAGGCCCGAGTCCAAGGCTGAATATGACACGCTGTGATTAAGACCTATGGAGCTCAAGATATGCAGGTTTTTTTTGTCTGTTTTCCAGGACTTTGCACCATTGCTTCTTTAAGTAAATTTCCATCTTTTTTAGACATTTTTTATCTGTAACCTCTGACTCACAGCAGAATGATAGAGCCCCAATTATCCAGAATAAAAACTCTGCACAGCTTAACTGGGAAAGTGGTTTCCTAAAATGACTCCTGCTTTTACTTCTTGGTGTTTATTTAAACACTGCTTCATGTTTCAGGCTAGGAACACTGGCAAAACCTCTGCTGTTATACAATGCAAAAAAATTAATATAAGTCATTTTTTCTTGAAATAAGAGTATTTTCCTTAATAAAAAAAATGATTAAGATTTAAAATAGGCTAAACACAACTCTGTTATCTTATTTTAATTAAGAAATATCTTTTTATCCTATTTTGACAGATAATCTCATTTCCTGCTTGAATTAAAGAAAAAATAAACCTGTTTTAAGAAAATTTAAACTCATCTTTAAACCAGTTTTTTCAGTGTAGAGGTGTCCAGCCTTAATGATGATGATTGAAACTTCATCCCTAAAGCAGTGGTCGTTGTCTTAGGGTAACACACAATGAAAACAATAAAAATCAAACAGTAAAAGTCTCAAAAACCTGCCCACATACATCACTCTGTAAAATAAATCAGTTGACATTTATTTAGGACGCACAGCTCTAGACTACATGTAAGCTCAAAAGTCTGACGGTCTGTGATGTTACAGAGCTTCTCAGCATATGGGGGCTGCAGCGCTCCGGCTGTGGCCTGTCTATAATACTGCACAGGGGTGAGAGGAATCTCCAATAATGGCTCTGACCTTCAAAATCATTCGGTCTCCCAGCATCTGCAGCCGGGTCCAAGTAACTGACTCAGCCTCCGTTCTCGATCGATTCTCTTTGAGAACTTCCTCTTTATTCTAGCACCGAGGTTGAAGAAAGAGCAGCTGGCTGTCACTGGCATTGTTAGCGAGGGAGGTCTCACCGTTTCCAGTTTGAATCTGATTAGCTTCTGTTAAATAATGATTCACAGCAGTTTAAAGGATAGAATTTTAAAATTTTCTGATGTAAGCCAAATAAGGCTGAGTTATATCTCTCTTTTACTTTAGCTTTGTTAGGATCTGCCATTTTGGTTCTGCTTAGTTTTCACTTTGGGTATTCAGTTAGGCTTGAATTTATGTTTTCCTGTTTTTACTGTTAATGTTTTTTTTTTGTTTTTTTTGTTTTAAAATTACTTCTTAGTCTTACTGTTCCTGTTTGGTGTTTTCAGTGGTGTCAAAACTACACACATCTGCTACTTAAGTAGAAGTAGATACTATAGTATAAAAACACTCTGGTAAAAGTTGAAGTATCAACCTGACCTCTTTACTCAAGTAAAAGTGAAAAAGTATGTGCTCCAAAAACTACTTAAAGTATAAAAGTAGAAAGTAACCTTTTAAAAAAAACAGCCAGATGTCACTATTAATTGAAAGCTCAATTCTCCGTCTCCCGATACGCTCTCGCCTGTGTCGAACCTTTTAGATATTTCAACATCTTTTTCTGAAACATTGTAGCATGGCATAGACAATTCACGTTTACAGTTTGAAGAACACCTGCTGCTTCTGATGATTTCCTTTAGCTAACCAATGAGTGTTTGCGTTATATGACTCATCCAATTCCACTAGTTTTCACTGGATGTGGATGGAGCCAATGATCTGCATTGGATGGAGCACATGACGTGAAATAAATATTTATAAACATTAAACAAGGGGTAACCAATTAAAAATCAGTGGGGTCCGAATAAAGAAAATGATCAACCAGTAAAGGTCCAGAGACATTTTTAATGATCCATTACTTTAAACAGAATTTAACACTGAAATAAAATGAGGTGTTTATGCATTCATGTTATACATTGAATTAGGGATGCACGATATAATCGGCCCCCTATCGGTATCGGCCTGTATCGGCCTTAAAACTGAATATCGGACATCGGCCACCACACCGATATTTAACCCGATATTTGATCAGCTTCTGAGTTTCTAAAGTCTAAANTACTTAAGTAGAAGTATAGATACTACAGTATAAAAACACTCTGGTAAAAGTTTAAGCATCAACTTGACCTCTTTACTCAAGTAAAAGGGAAAAAGTATGTGCTCCAAAAACTACTTAAAGTATACAGTAAAAGTAGAAAGTAACCTTTAAAAAAAACAGCCAGATGTCACTATTAATTGAAAGCTCAATTCTCCGTCTCCTGATACGCTCTCGCCTGTGTCGACCTTTCAGACATTTCAACATCTTTTTCTGAATCCCACATTGTAGCATGGCATAGACAATTCACGTTAGCAGTTTGAAGAACACCTGCTTGCTTCTGATGATTTCCTTTAGCTGACCAATGAGTGTCTGGGTTATATGACTCATGGATGACTGTGGATGGAGCCAATGATCTGCATTGGGATGGTACACATGACGTGAAATAAATATTTATATAAACATTAAACAAGGGGTAACCAATTAAAAATCAGTGGGGTCCGAATAAGAAAATTATCAACCAGTAAAGGTCCAGAGACATTTTTAATGATCCATTACTTTAAACAGAATTTAACACTGAAATAATATGAGGTGTTTATGCATTCATGTTATACATTGAATAATATTGCTAATGATCCCTTCGAGCTCCAAGGAAGTCGGAGCGCAGCAATACAGGAAGAGCAGCGGATTCTGTAGGCTTTGCTTTGCGCAGGAGGTCTGGAGCGCTGCGGGGCGGAACGGTGATGGAGCGGTGACGGAAGATGTGTGATTTGAGGGTAACAGGAGAAGCAGCACAAGTTACATTTAGACACTGTCATCAGACAATTTATAAATGTTTTAAATCAGGTTGGGTCCAGATTAGCCAGCAGGTGGGTCTGGATCTGGACCACTGTCCGCTAAGCCGTGACTTCTGCATTAAACCGAAGTCAAGAGTAACGTTTGTTTTAAAAATGTAAGGAATAGAAAGTACAGATAGTTGTGTGAAAATGTAATGAGTAGAAGTAAGAAGAAAAATAAGTAATGGAGTAAAGTATACAGTAGGTACCTAAAAAAGTGTACTTATGTACAGTGGCAAAGTATTTGTACTTCGTTACTTGACACCTCTTGTTTTTTTTTAGTTATCTCCTGTTCAGTAGTCCTTAGTCTTTGCTCTAGTTTTATTTTTGTCATTCATTGTTTACAGTTATCTTTAGGTTATATTTCCCAGTTACTCTCCATTTCCTCCTAGTATCACCTTCCTTCCCATTGGTTTTCTCTCTCTGCACACTTGTCCTCACTCAGATCATCGCTCCAGTCTTTGTGCTGTTAGTCTCCTCCTCAGTGTATATATACCCTCCTCTTCAGTTTGTCTATGCTGGATTGTCGTCATTATGTATTCATCAGTTCCTGTCACTCACCTCCTTTTAACTCTGTTCTGGTTCCCATGTCCCTTGGATGTTTAATTTTGGACTTACACTTTGGCTGCAATAAACCTACTGTAAAGGAAATCCTCTCTCCCTCAGCCTCTGCATTTTGAGTCCAGCTACAAACTTGTCCATTTACTGACCAGCTTTACCACTCAAACAAATGTGAAAATGTCTGGTAATATTCTAAAATTGTTATTGCAGAAATATTTAGTTTAAAATAAGGAAATTACTACCGGTAAGTATTTTAAGTGTTGTTTTTAATGTTTGAGCACTTGCTTTATATCCTAAGGAGCTGTAAGTTACCGACACGTCACATATGAAGCACATACATAAATATATATTTACTGATTCTCAATTTACTGAAAGGAATCTCACTGATGACATTTTCAAAACTGGATAAGCGAGTGAGCTCTGTTGTAAAATCAAGATTTTTTTCATCTGTCCCTTCTTGGTAAGACTGAATACAGTGTCTGTACTAAATACTGTGAGAAATTATCCATGCCTTCTCTACTAGATTACTTAGATAATTAGAAATTCCAAAACAAAAACATGGATAAATCTTCTTTACGGCAACTTCAAAATGATTCAAAACGCTGAAGCTTGATTTATAAGTGGAACCTGGAAATGCGTGCATATGATCCTATTTCTGGCTCCTATGTATTGTCTGCCTGTACCTTGGTTTTAAAATTCTTCCATTGGATTTCAGTGGTATAAATGGCCTGGCTCCAGCCTATCTTCAAGATCATCTGAACCATCAATCAGTTTCCAGAACACTAAAAATCAAATAAACTCTTCTTACATGTTCTCAAAGCCAGACTTAAAAGCAGGAGGGAGGGGGCATTCGTTGTCATGGCTACTGGAAAAACTTGCCCTTTAACATTAGATCTGCTTATCATGTGGAACTCTTTAAATCCTTAAAATTCATTTTTTTCTTTTGGCATTCATGTAAGGCCTGAGATTGTAATTTATGTGTTTTATTTTTTTAATGTTTATTTTATTGTGTTTATTCCATAGGTGCATGACGACTCTTTTACAGCCCTTTGGTGGATTTACAAGATGTTTTTAAAGCTTATAAATAAATTGACATTGATTATGGGAAGAACTGATTATCGTTACTGATCTTTCATTCAGCTGCATGAATTTTGTTTTGGAAATTCAGAAAATCTACGAAATCTCATCTAAAGAATTTCAGCTAAAAAATAATATGACCTCTGGAACATTCTAACAATTCTAAGATTACAAAATATATAATGCAAAGTAAGCTTTGAGTTCAACTTAACGCTGGACTCATTTTCTGCAGCTTTACATTATTTATGCCTGTTTTGTTATGAGCCAACTTTTGCAGCTGGTGCATGTAGGGTTGTATCCCTAAAAGCCTGAGCTCTTCTAACTGGCAGACTTATGGAGGCTGAGATGCGACGCCCAGTGAGCTGCTGGCAGCTTCTGAAAGCAAACTATAAACCCACTGGCAAAAAGTATGTCGAAGGATTCTCATTAAAAATGGTCAAAACACCAAGAAAAGAAAAGAAAAAGCAAAGTACATGCAGATATTTCAATTGGAATATTTTAATGAGAATATTTACATTTTTTTTAGAAAATGTTTCTTGTATTATAAATATAGCAGGTATTTCTGTAATTTACAGACAACCAATTATCAAAAAGCCAAATTTGATCAAATGTGATCATCTACCCTTCAGGCCATTGTAACCTGATGAAGGAGGAATTAACTATTTAGAAAACTTTAAAATAAATAAAGAAAAGATACTTGAGTTATGCTCAGCACGCAATCAGATCAATGGATATTATTTCTACAACTGTAAATCATATATAAGCTGTGATCATCACATTGTTGGTCCAATTCCATCACATCCAGGCCTGATTAAAGATAGATCTGTAGAATCTAGAAATGACTTTTATACAGCCTGTCTGACTGCATAAAGTAAGTGAAAAGATCTCAAAAAGAAAGACATTATGCCTCAAGACAAACAGAAGCCATGAAGAGCCATCTCTAAGGGTCTGCTGCTTCAGCAGTGAGAGCCATTATCCACAGACAGAGAAGACATGGAACAGTGCAAAACCTTTTTATAAGTGACTGATCTAAAAAAAAAAAAAAAACACATCTTACAGATGTAATGAGACAAAACAATATCAAGGCAGTCAAACACGGCGGTGAAAGCATGATGCTCTGGGCATCATCTGACAGCGGAAGTCTGAAAAGCAACACGTCATGTTAAAGAAAACACTAGAAAACCAAGGCATTGTCATCTATCGGTAACAAAGATAAGACATGAAGACACCAGCGAACCACAGTTACAGTAGAGCTGCAGAAAGCATCCAACATGGGGGAACCTTCCCATCAAAATGACTCCAAGAGACGTCAAGGATTCATTCAGAAGGTCAGATAACAGCCAGCAAACATTAAACAACAAACATTTCAGCCTCTGATGGAATCATTTACTCAGGTAAAATTATGGTTCATGATTCAACCAACAGAAAACAAGAATAGCTTCCAGGACTGACACAGGATTTTAGTTAGAAAAAAAAGGAAAACCTTCTGGTTGGGGGATATTTTAGGGGGCTTTATATCCTGAAAACCTGGAGGACTTGAAATAATTGATGGAATTATGATTTTTATTTTTTGCTCTCTAGAGGAAAATCCTGCTTAATTTTAGCAATCAATACAGGACCTTAAGCCTTATCACAATTTAGAAAGCAACTAAATGAGACGCTCTTTGATTTGACCCAGTTTTAAGTTTAATACTGAAGTATGAGCTTAAACTAAAGATAGACCGAAACCTTGGCTGTTTATAAGTGCTCTTTAATCATTATTCATTCATCATGCATTGCTTCTCCCTCCATCTATTCATAGTTCATTGTTTTTGATTTGTTTATACATTTTTCTTTTCTTTTTCTGTTTAAAGGCAGACTTTAGTAACAATTACAATAATTTTGTTGTTTTTAATGATGTAAATGGAGAAGGTAAAATCAATACCAGTCCAAAAAAAACGGCAGCATATAATCAGTACAGCATAAGCCTTAAAATAACAGTATAGGTAGATCTCTAAGTTTATTCTAAATAACCTGTAAAACCTGAATAAAGTAAAACATTTGTGAGAAGCAGAGAGACCCAAACTTCCTCAGAGGTGATATTAAAATCTCATTAGCAGTTATTGCTATGACTTGATATCAGCTGTTGCTGCTAAGGGTGTTATGAATAGCTATCAGCTTTCGCAGGTTATTACTTTTCCCCACAGGGCTTGTTAAGTTTGAAAAGCTTTCTCCATTAATGAATAAAATCAACATTTGAAAACTGCTTTTTGTATTTGCCCTGATTATCTTTGACATTTACGATCTTAAAAAGTGAGATATGACAAAAGGCAAAACATTCTGCTGAGTTAAAATTCATCCCCTTTAAGACAACAGTCATGCTATTGGCTTTAAACTTAACAGAACAAACTACAGGATCATTTAGACATACAGATGATGTTTTTTTTTACCCTACATGTAGTTTAAGGCCAGCTATAAGCAAAGGTGGTTTTGCAGACATGGTGGAGATGAGCAGGAGATGCCGAACATCATCACCAAACTAATCAGCAAATCATCTCATTACCTAAATATAAATTAAAAATTCACTTCATATAATATATTTAGACCAAAAAAACTTGGATAATGTGCAATTTCAGCTACAGGAGTAGTCTAAACCCCCTGCCACCACTTCCCTGATAATAGATTTCCTACCACTGTGTAGATGGCTGAATAAAAGCTGAGGGCTGCATCTTTGGAGGGGAAGGATTTGCGGGCGGACACCACCAGGTACGGGTTTCCTGTGCAGGCTCGGTTCTCTGTGATGTACTGCAGAGGAGACTGGCAGCCTAGAGCTGTGTAGTTTGGTCTGCAGGCGGACAGGAAGTGAGGCGTCTGGTTTCCTGTCACCACTTGACCGGCATTGGCAAAGATGGTTGTAGCAAAGAGACCAAAGGAGTAGACCCCTGGGGAATAAAGAGAGGAAATTAGGGAAAAAATGCTGCTTTTGTCTACTTACAGTGCAACTTCAAAAATAATCATACTCCTTAAAGTGGGAGATAGTTGTCTCATTTTTCATTAGTTTTTCCTTTGCCTTCTTGAGATAATGACATAACTATCTCGTTACCAAGGTTAAACCATTAATTGTTTTCTCGAGATAAAAGATAATTATCTCGTTATCACGAGAAAGCAGTTACTGATTTCTTGAAATAACGAGATGATTAACCTGTATTAGTAATGAATGAGGCTGGCCAACAGCCCTGGATTCCCAGTCCATCCATGCCTGCAGTACCTGTAGTTGTGCAGTGGCGGTACAGCGTGTGCGCAAAAATTTTTTTGTTTCCTTTTCTTTTCACTAATTGTCAGGTGGTGGTGGATGATTGGAATACAGTAGAACCAAATCTGACTGTTTTTAATGAAAATCTTTAATCTGGACTCCTTATTGGGGTTAATGAATCTTATACGTGTTACAGGCGTAACATCGGGTTCAGAAAAGACCCGGCGCTAAGGCGCCGGAGGCATAGGTCTAATTGCTTATGAATCAGAAATGGAAGCAAATCATCAAATAAACAACATGGTATCGTTACCTAAAAGCTCAACACGGGATCATTTACAGAATTACACATAGGCTGCCAAGACTTATAAATCCTCTGCCGCTGTGTGGTATTTACGGAAGCAATCAGTTTTAACACACCAATCGTCTCGTTATGACGAGAAAACGGCTTTCTAATGAGAAAATTATCATCACGACGAAACGGCTTTCGTTATCTTTATATAACGAGAAAAAGTATCGGCTGGAAAAGACCTATGATATAAACTAACACAATATTAATCAGAAAATGGTGGCGTTCATTCCCCTCCCTTTGAGTCAGTACTGAAATGAATCCCATTTTGGATTGTTCTGGTTCCAGAAGGTGTTAAGGACATTCTGTAAAAGTTTAAAAAACAATCCACTGGAGTTGGTTTCCAAGGTTTAAAGAAGTTTTGCTTCCCCTCCAGGAAGCTTTCTCAATTTTTGGATTGAGAAAGCTTCCTGGATGGGAAGCGAAACATCTTCAAACCTTGGAAACCAAGTCCAGTGGATTGTTTTTTAAACTTTTACGGAATGTCTATGACCTGGATGACTGAGAATCTTCATCATTGTGTTAAGGACAGTTTCTAAGTCTCCCCTTAGTTGCTCGACTGGATTTTAACATTCAAACGCATCAGTCTACATAGACCTAAAACATTCCACTGTAGCACTGGCTGTGAGATAAAGGCCCTAAGCTGTGGAAGGTGGGTCTATGATCCACACTCAAGGTTTTTCACATCCTTCCATGAATGAAATTCATCCACTTCCCCATCAACTCTAACCCCCCTCCCCTCCTTGCTGAATAAAAGCATCCCCACAGTAAGATGCAGCCACCACCGTGTTTTGCATACCAGTCAAATATTGTCAAATAACCAGGGTTTTTTTCCCCTCATATATTTGCTGTAATTCAGCTTATTCTTGTTGCCTTTTTCCACGAAGATTTAAAAAGTCAACAAGTCTTAGATAACATGTTAACAGAGCTGTTGATCTCTCCACATACATGTGAAATGTCACTCTCAGTTTAGGTAGAAGCCATTGTCGTGTTAAAATTTCATCTGTGCCATAATTACTCTCTGTTTTGAGAGAAGGGATCAGATAGTGCTGAGTGAGATATTTTCAAAGAATCAGATTTAGCTTCATCTATTTTTTTAGCATTGCTGGACTGGTTAGCGGTTTGTTTCACATAATTTATGAAATCTTAAAAACCAAATTAAACTTTTGAACCAGGAATGGAAAACATCCTTTTGATATTTAGTATCTACTAAATTATCACACTGGTACCTTCATGAACATCAAGAAAATCCTGTTTCGGTCCAACAGACCAGTTATGACCTAGACTAGAGCGTACTGATCTTTCAGTCCACAGAAAAAAAGGTTTTTTTTGCTCTTTCAGTAGACGTTTATGAACAAGTTCTATGTTAGGCTTTGTCACTTTTTCAGTAACCATTTACATTAAGTAACTTATACTGTAGATATGTGCCTTCTTAAATTGAGTTTATCAGAATTTGATTCAAAATTATTTCTAACTATTCAAATTGTTTGATTTTGATTGAAATTAGGACAATACAACAATTTCAAAAGAATATAAAGTTTTAAAAAAGCAGTTATTCAATCAGTTTTAATTTGAAATTTATCACCTTCTAATCTGTGACAGCCAGCCAACCCATCTTGTAATTGAATTTTTCATGTTTGCTCTGGTGCTTGTGAACGACTCCTCTGTTTGGTGATGGGCTCCAAGTCTGTGATGTAAAATTTACATTAGGATTCCTGCTGGACGACTTCAGCGTGATCATATTAGTTCCAGTCAGGCAAGACATTTTGATTAAATTAAATACCTAAAAGATCTAAAGCCAGATCTACCAAATAAATTAATGGTTTGGGACACAACTGTTTATGAAGAAGTCTTTCATATTTAACCCCAGTAAAAAAAACAATAGTAAACGTAGCGTCTTGTATCTGCGGGACTACGACTGACCTAGAAAACGTACGATCCTCCGAAGGAGAGGGTTGAAATAACAGCAGTCAGCGGTCACTATGGTCTTCTCCTGAGATCCCTCCGTCTTCACAAAGAAGCCCGTCACTTCCCCGATCAGAATCTGGGACACAACAGGCAAAGCAGAGAGAAACAGTTTTTGTCAGACAAAGCTGAAACAGCATGGCTGAGAGAGCTGAGCGGCATCTATAAATATTCTGCCTGTTAAATATGGTGCACAGCAAAATTATTCATGAGTTTTCTTCCCTCTGATGCGCCGTGATTAAAGGTTTTCCCTTATCATCTGCCTGCGTTTGTGTTCCTTCCCCAAATCCCAACATTAACACCTTTGGTTTCACTAATCAGCTGCAGAACCTGCCGCTTGTTGTGCTTTTAAAGCAGTTTTCTGAAGCTCTGTTAAAACAAGGGCATCACTTTGTCTATAACCTTGAATATAACATCCTTTGCCTGTATGCATTTAATAAAAAATCCAGAGTGTTTAATGTGTTGGCTCACCAATATAGCCATGCATTTACTAATACACATCTAAAGAAACCATTTGAATATCCCCCCCTCCGCCCTTTGGCAGCCGTTTGAAAAACAGTATGAAAGGTTTCAAGCTAAATCAGCAGGACATGGATTTCTTCTGACAGGGGAATACATTTACTATACGCCAAACCACACATTTTCAAACTCCATGATGGTCTGCTTATGTGTTTAGTCATGTCAAGGGACGTCTACAAACAGGCGTGGATGGATGTGGGCTACATGGGCTGATGCCAATGGACCGAGGCTCCTTGTCCTCAGTGTGACATACAGACTGATGTTGGCACTGATGTTATGAATTAAAAGCTACCAGAAAAAAGGTTCATTCATACTGTATTTGTCATGTTTGCAAGTAAGAAACACTTTAAGATGATAATTATACCTTTTAAGGAAATGAATGCAGTTTAATTTACATCAGTATCTCTGAGTAAGATTCTTCAACTACATCTTCCTTAATGAGGCTGCATCGTGATTTTGATGTAAAATGGAAAACATTACTTTGTCTCTATTAAAGGGAACACGAACAAAACCAACACAGTCCTCACCATTCATTGCCCGTTTCTTTACAAGATAGCATAACATGATAGGACTGGACAAAACATAACTTAAAATGGCATAAGGTAAGATATTACAGCAGCAAAACTTACTAAACAAATAAGAGACACCCAAACTTATGTTTTAGCGGGTGTCTGTTTGAAGAAGTTCACAGTTGTTTCTGCAACATTATCTACAGAAACCAAGAGCAGTCGTGTCCCTCAGATCCTTTTTTATGGGGATTTTCTCGAGAAAACTAAAGATAACGAAAACCATTTTTTTGAGATAATGAGATCATTTGTTTGTGATAAAACTGATTACATCTTTCAATAGCACAACAGCAGGAGAGGATTTATAAGTCATGACTTATGTGTAATTCTGTAAATAATCCTGTGATCAACTTTTAAGTAACAAGACAATGTTGTTGGTTTGATGATTTGCTTCCACTTCTGATTCATAAGCAATTAGACCAATTCCTCCTTAGCGCCAATGTTCTGTCATCGGGTGTTTCCTAACAGCCCCGGTGTTACGCCTGTGACCGGTATAATATGCATTACCTACAAAATGAGTCCAGATTAAATATTTTCATTAAAAAACAATCAGATTTGTTTCCACTGCATTCCATGCAATCCAATCATCTACCAAGAATGACTATGAGTGAAAAGGAAAAGGAAACTATAAAAGGTATTATTTGCGTACTCCTTGGACCGCAAACTGCACAACTACGGACGTGGATGGACTGGGAATCCAGGGGTGTTGGCCAGCCTCTTTTATTATTCATACAGGTTAATCATCTCGTTATCTTAAGAAATCAATATCAATTAATGGTTTTAACATGAAACGAGACAGCTATTCTCTCTATCATTATCTGGAGAAAGCAAAGGGAAAAAAAATGTTGAGTACGACAGCTCTCGGCGTCCGTGATTATCATACTCCCATCATTTTACATTTCTTGCTCCCCAATAGGACAGCATTTAAAGGTATAGTGGAGGATGTTCTTTTACTGGGTGGATCATCAAAATAAGTGGTCCTCCTAATCGTCAATCATTCTGGTGATATATTTACGTACGGCCGTCCTACGTGCTCATCCTGATTTTCATTTATCGGTGGTGAGTCTGACATGGTGAAAAAATTGCAAATCTTCTTTTAAAAAATATGCTTGTATCAATTGCAAACAGCAACTATTAAACAGAGCGTTTAATAGATGTTTCGTCACGGGGGCAGGTACAGGGTTGTGCATGTGCATTTATTATTGTTTTTAAGAGGATAGGGCGGGTCTTTTAAAAAATTCAAGAAAATCGTTTACTATATTTTTATTCCTCTTAGTATTTTAGAATGTTTAACGGTTATTTAGCCTATTTTTTTATGTAATTTAATTTATCCTTCTTTTAGTATAACTCTTTAAATTGTCCTGAGTCCTTCTTTAACTCTCGGCAGATTATTTTTTTTAAAGAGTTCAGGTCTTTGGACTAAGATGGCTTTGAAAGGTTTAGTATGAAAACCATACCTTGGCTGATTTGGCTAAATCTTTTTTCCATCATTCTTCAAAATGATTCAATGAATATTTTTTAGTTTAATGATATAATTCATCGGACATTTTTCAGATCTTGTTTATATTCTTGGATAAGCACACAGCATCACCAATCTACCACTATAGTCAACAACTGGCATAAAAAGCTAGTCTCATCTGATCTCATGGTTAAAGTTCCAAAAGAGTTAACTAATCTTTAGATTTCTGATGGCAGGACAGACGGTTCAATCTCATGTCCATATCTGCTGTTTTCCAGTGGTGAGCTTACTCTAGTGTTTTTGTTTCTTCTCTCTGGTCATCCATATAATAACCTAATAATTTTGATCACTATTGTGTGTTCGATGCCTCCTTATGTTATGATGTCATTTTAAACCTTTTTATTGAGAAGATTTGAACATTTCTTAAATCAGGAACAGAAACCATGACCACATGATATTATACCACTGGACTGGGTATAATTTATTTCTAGGGGACTTTTTAACAACCTTTTTTGTCCACTTGAATTAAAAGAATAACCCAGATATCAGAAATTTGAATTAGAGTGTCTCTATATATGCTTATAACAGGTTGTTGAAAACGATCCACAGTAATCATTAAAAAACAATTGAATGTTAAGTAAAGGATTAAGATATTTCTGAAGATTAAATCTTTCCTTTTATAGCTCTTTTATTTCACATTTTCAAGGTTTGAAAGTTAAAATTATAACACATCATCACATTTTTTTCCATACTGGTCACTAAATATAGCAGAGTTTAAATATTCCTGAACATTTACTCATGAGATCAAGCCTATTTCAGACTTTGGCTGAGATGATAAAATTATGGCGAACCCCTTTGGGTGTACAGTGCCACTACATCAATGCATGAATTAAAAAATACTATTGACTTGTGGCCACTTGTGGCCACTTGCTGTGCTGATATAGCCTTGAAAAGTTCAATGCACTGTTCACGAAGACAGATCGATGCCAAATGTCTGATGCTGAACTGCAGACAATTGAAGGAACTGAAAAGTATTTTTCCTGATCATCTGTTTTTGAATCCTTTGGGGAAGATGTGTTCCTCCTTTTTAAGAACAAGGTGCATTTTCAGTGTTAATACTTACACACAGCTTTAAGATACTGTTTTTTAACTGCAATGCAGTGTAAACCTCATATGTCCGCCTATCTGTCCGCCCCTCCGTTTATCCATCCATCCATGGATGGATATCCACCAATTATTCAATAAATTACAACATGAGGCAGAATGCAGGGGTCATAAGATCTACCGTAGCATACTGCTGTCCATGTGGTTGCAGACGGTACCTTTAGCACAATCAACACTTAAAAGAGTTACTTTTACAATTACAGGTGCTTGGCTCCAGGAGATTCACTTCCATACAGAAAGCCTACATTCATATCTTCAGGTAACACAGAGTACATGTCAGACTTAATAATATTACTTCAGCAATAGTTCAAGGTGTTGCTTTATTGTATATCTCGTACCATGTTTGGTTGTGCTGTCCTTTTTTTTTTATCTCGTTACAGGTGATGAAGCAGACTGAAAATGTTTTGTCACTATCTCCTTTCTATCACTTCTTTCTTTCATCTATTCTCTTTTTTTTCTTTTTTCCTTTTCTTCTTCTGTTTTTCTGCTCTATTTACATTGCAGTGTCCATATAAACCGTAAAACTCCCTGCATAATTATAATAAAGCATTTTATATGCATGAAACAAGTGGAGCAGTATGGCAATTGCCATACTGCTCCACTTGTGAAAGTAAAATCTGTTGGGCTCTTTTTGGAATCAAGACAATTATTCTTATTGCCACATTGCCAGACAGGACACCGTAATAAAAAAAAAAAAAAAAAAAAGAGTTACTTGAATTAAACACTGGATTCACACCAACTCTTTGGAGAAACTTACTCCTGCATAGTTTAATTAATTTTTGTGTAGGAGAAACATGCAACCTCCATTCGGTAAAGGTCCAGGCAAGGTTTGACTCCTGTAGATGGACAGAAGGTAGAAAACCTTAAATCCTACTTGAAAAAATACAAACATATGACTGAGGATAAACAAACAATGCCCTTTTTCTTTTTTTTTTAATTTAAAAAAAGTTCTATAAAAAGCTGAGATAGAACATGTACATTGGTACGTTGGATCACAGATGAAAAGCTAACCGTGATGAGTTCTAAGCAGAAAATGGCAAGTTTGTTGAAGGGAAAGAAGTCAGTGTCACATGGCTTTAATATTATGCCATCCTGCATTCACCTTATTTGTTTTTTACAAGAGGATTTGCAAAGGGGGCGAGTCAGCCTCAAATCTGTGTCCTTGAAGCTGTCAGTGGTATAGAGCTGTGCTGTAGGCACTTTGGCAGAACTGTTAACTGCCAGAGATAAAACAGCTGGATCATATGATGTGGCGCATATTTACTCCCAAGCCTCTTGAGAGTGTCATTACTCTCTGCATATCAGGAAAATGACTTCATACTGGTGCTGCAAAGTAATTCTAGTGTGTGCACTATTAAGATCACACATGAT